CCAGATTTTGGTGAGAAATACCCAACCTATTAGCCAGGTTGGCGCCACCTAGTGCCTCTGCCTAATTTAATTTCTCTCCAGGGACTAGGTCAAGAATCAGAATACACTTGACGGTTTGCAAGAATTCCGGAAGTGCAAGTCCGGGCACCAACCAATCAGTGAAGAACTATACATTCTGTGTTGGCAACGATTCCCGAGATCGAGGATTTAAAGCCGGATTAAAGAGAATGTTTGGTGAATTTTATCAAGGGGAAAAACGTTATTGCCCTTCTTCCTATGGGATTTGGGAAAAGCTTAATATACCAATTAGCCCCATTAGTGGTGCATTACATACGTCACGACTAAATAGCAGCATAGGTTAAATTTAAAAAAAGTACCCGCCTACCATCGAGCGAATGAATTCTAATGCTGCGAGGTCAGACGGTTTCCATAATGTGAAACCGGCTGATGAATCAGGCTACCACCCTATAGCAAAAGGTTGACTAATGCATGTTGTATTTTGATGAAGAATAGCAGATCACCTTGAAAAATCTTCCCTGACACAGGTAGAACACGCAAAACCAGAACGCTTACATAACCCGAAATCAAACCTTGAACCTCATTGCTGTGAGAGTGCCAACCAACCTGCCACCATTACTCCAACATATCTCCCTGACATCGTAATAGTGTTCAAACTGCTCCCACACGGCATTCGGGAGGGCCGCGGCGGACATCTCGTGACAGTTCTGGTTTATAGCCTCATTTAGACTCTCACTTTTTACCTCTTCTCCGTTGCATCCCTTCACTCCAGCCTCCTGCCTGCTCTCCCCGCGCTTTTATCTCGTCCACTGAGCCAGAACAGGCGAAGATTTGCATTAGCGGCCGATTATGAACACCTATGACAGATCCTCTCCTCCGCCGGGTGCCCCGCAAGGAGAAGAATGGCCTCCCCCGTGTTGTCTTGCGCGGGGGGAGACACGGACCAAGCAATTAGAGTTTAGTGGTTAATGTGGAAGCGATCGGGGAAGGGGTGAGAAGGTTCAACTCTCCTGCTGCGTCGATGTCAGTTTCCAGGCAGTACCTTCGTCTTCGGCTGGTCTTTCTTCCCCCTCTTCCGGATGGAGGATGGTGGGGAGATGACAAGCTACCTGTCTAAACCTCCGGGGTGAAGGGAGAGGAGGCAGCAGAGTGGTCCCGGGGGGAAAAGGGTGACAGCTCGTGACGTAGGTTGTTCTTAGCAGTGAAGGAGGAGAGGGAGAAAGAAGAGTCATGCATATTCATTGTTTATATTATATTTATACATTCACATATACACGGACAGCAGCGCATGGCTCTCCTGGCTCATTCAAATGAGTTCCATGTTGGTGGTGGTGTTTCTTACTGGTCAACTTGAGTTATGGTGTAGTGTAGTGTTGTACTGTTTTCTCACGTAGGAGTATGGGAGAAGTTTGAGTCAATTCTCCAATATAAAATATACATTGACTGATTAGTAAGCATTGCAATTCTTTGTCTTGCTTTGTTTTGTTTTTTTCTGACAAATTTAGTGATTATGATTACACTTACATCATTCTTTCGTTGCTATAGTTTAACAAATGAGCTGGCGGATGGGTCAAAAATCTATGGTGAAATTTGTTGTTTAACTGTCAAATTGCAGATTTGTTGACCTGGTTTAGCGTTAATATTTCTGTAATTACTCAGCCTATCCACATGAAACAAAAACTGGCGTAGAGTTCACTGTCTTCTCTGTCACTATAAATAAACAAAAGTGAAATGATTTTGTCACAGTAATTCAGGAAATGGTGTCATTATTCAAGCCCAAAGATGTGACTGTTGTCATTTGAAAGGACTTTAAGCTAAAAGACTAATACGACAAATCTGTGGAGCGAATTCGAAACTAATGATAAGGTTAAACAGTGAATCTCCTATAGTTATATAGACCCCTCCTCTACATCTGACATAATTATGACAATTGATAATTTAAGAGATTTCCAAAGTGTGAATACAGCTTATTTGTGTGTATTGAATGTGTTAATGTTGTTTTCAGGTTCATTATAAAAGAAAGATCTAAAATATATGGGCCTGTTTACATGAGAACGCTTGCGAGTAAAAACCACAAAATATTTTATCGGAAGCGTCTTTCATTTAGACGGTTACAGCGTTTTTTGGGCTTAAAAATGCAAAAACCTGAAACGACCCTGCTGAGTGGAAAAGTTTAATATGCTCCGCAGTAGCGTTTCCGTCTACACTGCCCACAAAACTCTGGTCAGATCTGCTCACATCACATACGCATTTATGTCATATACATCACCACCTAGCCTCACCACCTAGCCGCCTAACATGCATATCCAATTGAATTCCACACACTTTTGTATCACTGTATGCATGCAGATTTCCTCCCGAAAACGATCGTCTAAACACGGAATAAAAAGTGAAAATGTGATGCCACTTTTGCGTCTTCTGTTTAGGCTGTCATCATATAAACGTAGCCTATGTAACATTTTACAAATACATTTTCATAACTACTACTATACAGCTACATTCTTTGCAAATATGAACAGCTTCCTGTGATATGCAACATTTTTCTTTTTTCACATTCAAAAGATATTATATTGTGTGTTAAATTGTTAATCACTATTGCAATGGAAATGTTCATCATTCTGAAACATGATTCTAACAAATTCAGACATAAATTCCTTTATTTAACAGTCAAACAATCAGAGATCAGACAAAACACACTTTGAGTCAGTCCCTAGTGAAACTGTACATCCCTGTGTATACATAACCTGCTTCAACCACAGTGGACAAGGCCCTGGGGCGGTCAGGTCTCGGTAGCGTCTGCATTACTCACGGTTCACGGCTCTCTTGTGGCTGCGTGAACCTGGCGCAGCGTGGCAGTAGGTAGCACCCTGGGGAGTCATTCTGGGTGGGTGCTGTGTGCCGCTGTGACAGGAGCGGTCTGTTGTTTACAGACCTGCCTAAAGCCTGCAGGCCTCCCACACGTCCTGTCCCACAACTTAACACCAGCATATTGTTCAGAGCATCCCCGGGTTAAGCGAACTCAGACAGGAGCAGACACTTCCTAGACAGTATGTGAGCCCATGAGCTGTGGGAAAGCCGCAGACCTGTGCACATGTAGGTGATGGTACAATGACCACACAGCTGGGGATGGCTCTGAGCTTTAGGTTTGAACACTTAACACCAACATATTGTTCAGATTTTCTAACCAGACAGCCCCCATGGCACGCTACCTTATGTCACTAGACTACCTGGAAGTCTCTATTGAAAAGTGTGTTGGTTGCATAATAACCGTGGAAATGGGGGACGCTTTGAGCTTCAAAACTAAAGTACAACATTGTCAGTGCAGTTTAGCAAGCAGAAATTCATGGCTCTCAGCTTCCTGTCATATGGTTCCATTTTGAGGATGTTGACTATTTAAAAGAAATTATTTTTGTTTTGAATTGGAGATTGCTATTACTATTTGGAATTGCTATTAAGCTCTTGCCAGATTGCTTTGTGTTGATTTGTGAATTGAGTTCTACACCTTACCAGTCTGGGATGGCTCTACCTGAAAGTGACCAGGACCTATCGAGACCTTCAAATTAATAATCCAAACTGATTGGTGGAAGTGTCACAATTTGAGTTAAATCCAGTTGAGAGAAAAGTGCAGAAATCTTTCATGTCCACAAATACACAGAACGCTTCCCTCTGCATGTTTTTCACAAACAAATTAAGTCTGTTGGCGACATCATGTTTGTTTTGGCTCCATGAATAGACAACGGCCATTAATTTATTACATGATAGGAGTGATTGCTTTGACAGGCTGTGGGTAAAATCTGTAAATTGTATACTTTGTATACTTACTCACATAGATTTAGGTTACAGAAGTTTCCAAATGTACGAACATACACACAGCCAAAATTAGCAGTGCTTCTTTTTGTCTTTTAAACTTGAGTCATTCCTACTGTTGCCAGCAGAGGGCATCAGACATCCAATCCAAGAGTTCTTTGTGAAACCGAAAGAAATATGCTGAATGTTATACAAAGTTGGAAGCCCATTTTAATATACGGCACTTCAATATTTATTAAAACTGCAGTGTTGTTGATATAAAGGTCTATCACAAAAATCACACTTTCAACCTCAACTAATGACACATTATTATATTAGGCTCACTTAGGTATGTTTGGTACATTCAAATTGGTTTGAATAATGAGAAAATATATTTTGATTTTGCCATTCATTTCAGCTCACGTTAAAATGCGTTTATGGATTATATTTCTTGTTACAGTGGCCTTCAATAATCTAGTTTAAACCTTATCTTGTCTTGTTTTAAATTATCTGTAGCAGTATGTTGCACTTGAAAGTCTGTTATGAAAGGTGTAGACAGCACATGTCCTGTGGGAGAGGTCTGGCGATGGTACAATGACCGCAGAGCTGGGGGTGGCTTTAATCTTTAGGGTTGAACACTTAACACCAGCATATTGTTCAGCTTTTCTAACCAGACAGCCCCCGACCTTATGTCACCAGACTAGGATAACTACAATTACTATTATTTTGCTAATCAATTAATCTTGCTGTCATATTTTTCACTAATTTTTAAGTTTAGTTAGCAATGTTCAATCCAATCAATCAAACTCTTAAACAGAACCATGAACCCTTGTATTTATCACAGGCTCCTGAAAATATGTTATTTAAACTGTTTTGTGTTTCACTACCACCATTACAGATACATGTAAAATACCCCCAACATGATGTCACTGCAAAGTATCCATTAATCAGACACTGGCGTTGCAAGCAGGACAGTGTGTAGAGATTACTGTACTTCTTTTTTAAATTACAAAAACAAAACCTTGGAGAGGTTTTGATATAGAGGCAGCCTTTAGTGACCCTCATGTGTGGTCTCCATATCCTCCTCAGATCTTTAGTACTCTTTGTTTGCCTACCATCATGTCTATGTGTTTGACTGTTATAGTGTCCTCCTCACATCTTCAGCATGTTCTTGACCATAGTGATGTCCTCCGCAGATCTTCCTGGTGACCGTGTGGCACTGGGAGCTCTTCATGCTGCCCCTCTTCCTCTTCGTCCTCATCGGGTGGAACTACTTTCAGCTGAGCGCCGGGAAACTCACCTCCCACCAGGACCTGGTAAGTCAACAAGTCAACCCAGCAATTTACAGATGCACTACACACTATCAGCTAAATATGTTCATTTGGATATGGCTTCTTTTACTTGTCCATGGCGTTTATTTACTTCCTGATATTTTCATCGGTTGTAAATCGTTTTCTAATCTTGGAAGATCTACTAATAGAATTTTTCAGTTCCAGTACTGATTGTATCAGTCAGTGCAAATATTATTTTGTGGTTTGTTAGTTTTTTTTCTGCCCTGAATAAGAGTGCATGGAACGGCACCTCACACGGTTCTGTATCTGTTATAAATTAGTCCTAATTACAACTATTAGCACTCATAATTTAAAGGTCCTTTATTACACAAAATGTTTTTTGTGAGCTTTAAGCCATGTTATAATGTTGTTACCTCATCAAAACATACATGAAGTTATATTTTGTTTCATTTACACATTATTAGTCTGTCTACATCTGCAAACCTCAAAATGCTCTTTTCCACCTTGTGATGTCATGTAGTGGTAGTTTCCAAGTTAACATATATTTTATCTTTAGCTCAGTAAAGAAAGGCAATTCCAGGGCTAAAATGATCCAAATGATTCTAGTGAAGGTATATGGAGTTTAAAAACAGTGGAGCACTTCCTGTATTATGACATGACAAGACATGACATCACAAGGTTGAACAGAGTGTTTTGTATTTGAGAAAAGACATACATACAAACATAACACAACTCCTTGTATGTTTTTGATGAGAATTCAACATTATAACAGATAAAAATAAGTGTAATATGGGCCTTTTAATTATGATCTGCAGTCTGCGAGGCTGCCAATCTACTCCACCAACCCCTTTTACCCATTAATGTCAAACCTCAACCCCTCAAAACTTCACATAGATTCCAAACTCATAGTGTCATACAGTATCTTGGCAGACAACAGCACAATCTTATATCACCTTGTGTTATGCAATCCCACAGAAGCGTACATACATCGCACCACACAACAGAGCGGGCGTCATTGAGAACACTTAGAGAACACAGCGCGATTGATCCTCGTGCACGTATCCGCCCCATGCATACAGTATATCCTCCCTGCTCATGTAACCACGGTGATTAGACTGCTTTCTCCAGTCTCCAGAGGCCCATTAAAACATCAGGAACTAGCTCCGGTCGAAAACAGCGCATATATGTGAGCATCTCCTCCCCCAATTTACAACATAAAGACGGAACATGTTGAAGTGTCAAATCAAGACCTTATTAGTTATACAATTCCACTGGTGGTATTAGATTTTGTGTGAAATTAAATAGATGGTCTTAGTTTAAAATTGAGGCGGTGGGCTGCAATTGAAAAAATTTGCTCCCAATGTGTCAAAATACGCTTTTCTCATCTCTGTTAAGGTCAGGGTAATTACAGGGCCAATTCACACAGAAGACAATATGCACACGCTTGTTGGGCTGTGTGATTCAGTACTGCATCAGGGTAGTAATACTTAGAGAATTTGGAGTGCATGAAGTACAAGAATTCACGCTATTATTATCACTTGTTCCCCAGACAATGGATCTTTGGATATGTCATTGCTCTGCCTGGAATGTTCCACAATATGACATTAAACAGGTCTACCTTACATTTATTTAATTACAGATGGTTTTATAGCTCAAAAATACCTAGAAAAATGGGCATTCTGACTGCGAGGAAGTTGCCTCTCCACACATCTGAACAAAAAGAGCAAATATGTTTGGAATGACACTTATATTTTATTTGAACATGCCAAATTCCAAATAATTTTCCACTGAAAGTAGCTGAAAGTGTGTTTTTATAACTCCAAACAGGAAAACACCTTTTTTCACAGAAATAGAATCATTTGGATAATTTCAGCCTTGGAATTGCCCATTTCTACTAAACAAAAGGTAAAAGATAACTGTTATCTTGAAAACTACCACTTCATGACATCACAGGGTGAGACAAAGCATTTTGAGCATAGGAGGTGTAGACAAAGTAATAATGCAGGATTACTCAGACATATGGGAATGAAACAAAACACAACTCCAGGTATGTTTTTGATGAGGTAACAAAATTAAAACATGTCTTAATGCTCAGAAGAGTTAATTTTGCGTAATATAGGATCTTTAATTGAGGAATAGAAAGAACAAAAAAAATCATAAAATCCATAATTTCTCAAATCCATTTTAACATTCCAAATTCCAGCCATTCAAATATTTGCAGTCATTTTCACAGTGCTTCCTGCTTGCCCCATGGCCCTGCATTGTGCCTCTGTCCCTGGGTAATGTTAAACCCACGGCATACCCTCATCTCCAGCACATCACCCGCCCATCACCCGCCCGCCCCGCGCCTGACCCGCCAGCCCTGCCCGCCACTCCCGCCACAACCGCCCTGCGCTCGGGTCAGGGATGACTTGATACGAAGTGATCTAAGGCAACAACATCCGAATGAAACGCGTTGTGTCCCCTCCCTCTCTCCGCTCTTTGCAGTTTCCTCGGTGCGTATGTTGTTCCGAAATGAGATTGCTTTGGTGTGACAGAGCTCGGGTGCAGAGGGCCCAGTGTCACCCAGCGCTTTTGTGTGGGGTCAGGCCTTTGATGCGGTCGCCATGGAAACAGGCCTCCTCCCAATAGGGGTGAATGTACTCAAAGGAAATTTCATTACGGAGGTGTTGGTTAAAAATGGTCCAGTGCCCACGTCCCGGCGCTCCGGTCTCACCCTCTGCTCTCGTCTTTTCTCCAGGTGAACATCGGCATGGCGGAGGAGGACGAAGACGACGAGAAGGTATTTGAATCGTCTCTTTCTGTGGCACTGTGAGGGTAATGCCTCTACACTCAGAGCACAATGAAAACAAATAGGTGTTTTCCATTCACTGTGGTGTCACATAATAGCAGCGGGCCGCAGTTTAAAAGTTTCAAGGTAACTGTAAAAATGTGTTTTGTGTGGCTGCATATGCATTAGATGTGTCTGACCTCATTGTGATAACAGGAGAAATAGCATCTTCTAGCAGTCCTAGCACTGTAGTGGCACAAAACACATCACACCGTTTTCTCAGGGCTCACAATAATGGTAATGCATCAGTCTATTATAGTGCATTTCATGCACCGTTTTCAAATGAGTGAAATGTCTTGCATGAGGGCACAACAATAATATGCACAAAAGCATTATTTGAAATTCCTATGGATGTGGTGTGTGAGTGAGTCTTAAAATGCCTCGATCTGATCAGAATGGTTACTTCTTAAACCCCAGCACCTGCAGACAAACATGAATCAGTGCTAGTGCAGCCTCTGCAGCTCAGAGGGGGAATTCTGGAGGTTCTGACACATTCTGATATGAAATCACACTCTGATATGACATCAAGTTCTGGTGTAAAATCACATTCTCATATGAAATCACATTTAAGTATGACATCACATTCTGAAATGAAATCACATTCTGATATTTAAATCGCATTCTGATATTGTAAAAATAATAAAATTTGGAGCCCACAGGTGTAAAAAAATGTTGATATTAGTATCTATACCACATCACATTCCCATATGACCTCATTATGTTTTAAAAATGGGATCCAGTTCAAAGTTCACATTTTAAACATGTCCTGTAGAACTGGCAAATCGGCCTATGAACTGACACCTAGTGTCCTCTATGTTAGGGCACTGGCAGTCCAGGTTCATTTGTGATTGTATTAACATCTTAAAACAGAAAGCACAGGCTACATACAATTCAAATACAATTTTACAGTTTTAACAGTTTTTCAGTGGCATTTTAGTAAAGCCCTTTGTACAAAGTTGGAATATCTCCTTATAAGAGACATTGTTTACTATAGAACGACAGTCTGTGGTTGAATAGTGGGGAGTATTCACTTACTTATCACCACTATCTTCTCCACAGCCTCAAAGAGGTCACACCAGATAACTACTCACTACCCCAAGTAAATTTTTCACAAAAACAATGTCAGATACAATTTACGAAACTTTCTACTCACTTTTCCACTAGTGCTTCTCTCCGTGGCACAAATGAGGCGCAGCTAGCACGCTACGCTAACTCCACTCTGCCCCCAAGGTTAGCTAACCCTTTTCCACTCACAAACAAATCCGAAATGTTTATTAATACATCTCTAGTGTGTTATCCAAAACAAAGCAACAGGAAATCTTTAAGTAGCCGGAAAATTATACTACCCCCTCAGCACATAAGATTCAATTACGCTCATGCTTACTGCTAGCGCGCTATAGCTGCGTTTAGGAGTCAGTGGGAAGGAGAGGAGGGATATTGCAAAACCAGCCTGGAGCCTTGCAGCGATGACCCCTGCGCGGAGAGTCTAGCCCAGATTCATATCCATAATGCGCTCAATATATTCTGCCTGCGTGACCCGGGGCTACGCAAAGACTCTCCTCGACAAAATAAAATAAAAATAAAGAGGCGTCCACCACCAAATCCAGTCGGAAAGGACAGGCTAATTCAGCAGTCTGCACAGCTACGGGATCTGTGGGAGTAATAGGGCTAAACAAACACCAGAGCTCATAAATGCATCCTATAATATGGGCTGTAAAGAGCTCATATGGTGCTGCTTTGTGCTAGTTTAAAAAGTTTTGGATGCCGAGCTTTGAGATTTCACCTTTAGAACTTAAATCATTTGTATATTTAGGGAATAAAAGGAATACTTCAACCCTCATTACAGATCCACAGAAAGTGATATTTAGATTTATTTAGGTCCTATATTAAGTAAAATTTACTATTTTAGCAATGTTAGAATGTTGTTACCTTAAAAAACATACTAGGACTTGTGTCGTTTCAGTCACACATGTTTAAGTAAAACATTATTATTTGTCTGTTTTACATCTCCAAAGCTCAAAATACCACCTTGTGAAGTCATTTTAGTAGTAGTTTTCTTAGGTTCAGTAGAGATTGGAAATTCTAGGACTGAAATAATTCAAATGATCCTAGTGAAGGTGTATGTAGTTTAAAAAAAAATACAGTGGAGCGCTTCCTGTGTTACCACATGACATCACAAGGTGGTGTTTTTTCTGTTTGAGTGGTGAGCCCTAAATACTCAGGGTTTATATTATATCATATCAGAAAATAGTGTAATGTGGGTTTTGTAGTTTTATAGAGGTGTCTATGTAAATTACAGTTGACTTGGAGGAAAAGAAGCTAAGAATGAGGTAAGAAATCATGTTTGCTAGATACATGTAATACCAGACCTGAATGCATGATTTTGGTTTCATTTTTCTACCATCATAGATAAATTTTGTTGTGTCCTTGGGCAAGATACTCTTAGCACTATCCCTATGTTAATTCTAAATACATGATTAATGGTTTCAAATAAATCACCACCATGGATACTTTGACATTAAAGATACAATGACCTGATCAGAGTAGGGCTTCATGTTTTTTCAGTGCAGTAAACACAACCAAAATGGCAAAGACATGACAGAATTTAGTTTATATTTTAGCAAAAAAGTGACCAGAATTTCAAAATCAAAAACTGGGACTCAGTTGATTTGGGTTGATTGGTAATAATAAAATTGTGAATTGAGTGCATAATTAAGGAAAATGGTTGCACTCGCCCATTCAAGACAAACATGTGATTCAGTATAGTCAGATTTTCTTTGCGTTTTGGTTATTTTGGAGCAGCTTTTCTGTATTTTACCTAAACAAATGACAATGATTGCCTCTCTTTACTGTTAGCAGGGATAAAACTGGTCCAAAATAGGGACACTTGAAACATTTCTTGTATAAAACTGGGGCAAATCACTGGTTTTGGATAAATCTGCTGGGACAGGGGTCACGGGTCAAAACTGGGACTGTCCTGGGTAAACAGGAATGTCTGATCAGCCTACTATAATCACCATCCATTCTCGTTCCATCTTCAACATGCTCATACCAATGTGTCCAAATCTGCTGACTGACAATGCACGTATGTACTTTCGACTGTCCTCACATTCAGAATCCCATTATATTCCACCATTCCACGAGTTTACTTAGCTAATTCGCGGCAGTTAGCACGTCTTCCTATCACAGCTCGTGTCCGCTTTCCCAGACCGTGCATGCGCTGACAGCTAACCACTAAAGGCGATATTAGCCACGGCAAACTACTTCTCACAACAGTGGACTTCCCCTTGAAACGCCTCGGTGCGGTCTTGGCTCAGCCTCCGCGGGCCCGTTCACACTCTTCTCAAATGAGATCTCCGCTTTCATCCGCTAATTAAGCAGTCGGCCATGTTTGTTTTAAGATGTCAGAGCTCATTTAGCGAAGCCCGTTTGAAAAGCTTGTTATGGTTTCTCTGTCACTCCAATGCGCTATTCTGCCGCTACATCAAGACGCTAGCTTTACACCTCCTATCAACGCAAATATCTAAGGTTAAAGAGTGATCAGTGTTGAATTTAACAACTTCAAAGCTCCACGTTTCTTTCTTTTTTTCTTTTTCGACGAACATAAAAACACTGTTCGCTCTCTAAGGAGGTTACCATTTCTTCGCCGGTACGTTTTTTCCCCCATGAGAAACCGAATATGCTAACCCTAAGAGCTAGCACGTATGACGCTAAGAAGAAACGAAAGGCTGTGTTACACGGGCAGTAATCCGGAACAGACGCGGGGCCCCTGGACAAATCTATCCCGCGGGCTGGTGTGGGAAGGGTGGCGGGTGTGCGGGGAGGGCAGACAGATTACAAATTACGTGTTTGGCAAAGTGACTTCCTGTTTCGCCGCGAGGTATCCAGACCATATTTAATCATAACATAAAGAAACAAGGACGGTAATAGGAGTCCCGTTTTGGTTGTAGTGGAGCCCCAGGCAGGAGCGCGGGTTTTGGGGGAGATGCTGGACGTGGTGGTTGGTCGCGGGGGCCGGTTGGTCGGGGTGGGGGCCACGGGGGTCATCTCGGGGCCCGCTCTGACCTTGACTGCGGAGCTTGTTTTGGACAGGACCACACTAAAGGAGCCCGGGCGGTGAACCAGAGCCGAGGGACTTGGGGAGTTCAGGAGTCAGTACCAGAAACAAGTGATACTCTGAGAAGTGGGATTGTACGTGACACGCAGGGAGCGGTGAGACATGTCCACGTAGTTCACAAGAGAGTTTTATGTTTTTGAAAGAATATAAGAAGAAAGTTTTGAAAGACCAGGCTTTATTTGGGTTATTTTAAATACCTTTTCGCACCTTTGCAGTGGTTAGTGGTAAGAGTGTTCACATACCAGTCCAAACCCAAACCAGTGGGAGTGTGTCTCTATCATATTATGGCAGCGGAGGAGGATAGCCAAAATAAGAGTCAGGTTTGTGGATATGCAAGCCCACTCAGAGTAACATGTGCAATAAAAACAACAAAAATTTAAAATTACACATTATCAATCAAAAGTTTGGACATACCTTCTCAATGTTTTTTTTTTCTTGTATGTTACTACTTTGACTACTTTCTAAACAATTTTTTTATACACACAGAAGTTATCAAATATAAGAAGTAAGATATATGGAATTATGTAGTAAAAATAAATAAGTTCCTCATACTTGTCATTCTTTGTTTGGTCAAAAAATATTTTGTTATTTAACTTTTTTCTTTACTAAATAATTCCATATATCTTACTTCATATATTTGATGTCTTTCATAGGTATAGAAAATGTAGAAATATTAAATGTACAAAAAAAAAAAAAAACATGCAATGAGTTGTTGTGTCCAAACTTGGTAGTGCACATTTATGTTAGTCTTAACATTTTATGGCTCAAAAGTTACATACTGTGGCTTTAATCATAATCCTGTCATGTTCACCAGTAGTGCAGTGGTTTGAACTAA